GATTCGCGCCCGATTAGGATGGCTGGTCGAACTATCGGGGACATAAGTGAGAAACGCGAGTTGTGGAAACGAATTCTCTATAACACGGTAGATGGTAAGGGCCTGAAGACAGCAGGCCAAAGTAAAAGTGTTCACCGTTGAGTATCGAATCCAGAGGGTATGTTTCCCTGGATGCATAAGAAGGCGATTCAGATACGCGGACATACCCTGTCAACTAAGGCGCGACGCGCGAGAGGCCGACACGGTCAAGAACCCCTCAACTGCTCCGCGGGGTGTAGGAGGGTTGAATCTCTCACCCATATTTTACAAAATTGCAAGTGTTCAGCGATTATGAACCGCAAGGCATAACCGGGTAGTGTCAAAGCTCGAAGGATCGTTGAGACGTGTAGGATACTCAGTGTTGAGTGAGGCTCGTATTCCTAACGGGCGGACCTATTTAAAACCCGACCTAATCGCCTACAAAGGTGATGTAGCGTGGGTTATTGATGGTATTATCTATGCGGATGACAGACTACGAGCCCGACCGAAGCTGCTACCTTGACGTGGTGGTCGGGCTTGCCTATCGTGATGACCCAACTGAGCTATACTGGCTGGAACACATGTTCCTGCAGGTCCTACCATGCCAGGCAGGTCGATTGGAGAACGATGAGACTAAAAGCAGCTACCCAAGGTCTGAGGGTTAAGTCGTACTGCTGACTGTGATGGAGGGGTGTGACAGCAGTAAGGTGTTTCCCTCGGACAACCAGCATCTGCAGCGATGCTGCCCTCTCACAAGGAAGGAAGGGTTAGAAAAGGTCGGCCCTAAAAATGTCACACCTCCCCTACCTCACGGATTTCCGTCTCCGTCGGTAAGGGTGCCCACTAAGGGCCTTTAAGAACGGAGCTAATCCTCTAAATACCTCTCATAAAAAGGCCGTGCGTGACCGGCCTCAAGCAGTTGTCCCTTGGACTCTGCGGTCACGCACCAACACTAATCCATCTTCCTTTTCAGGTTCGTCAAGAAACAACCTTCCACGGTGTGGGCAGCCGGGAAGTGACAACCGCCCTCATACCCGTAACAGCACACGAGACCAAATTGTTCAAAATCAAATCCTTCCTACATTCCCTAATACCTCTCTTATCTCCACAACTAACTCCTCTCACATTCATTTATTACAGTGCACAGCTAATGCAAACGATGCGAGTTTGCGAAACGTCGTTCCTGGTCTCCTTAAACCCCGTTCCAAACTACATGTTGGAGCATTCAATGTACGGACATTGTGTCAAATGGGGCAACAGGCATCATTAGCTAGGACTTTAGAATCTCGTTCCATCGATGTGTGCTGCGTCTCGGAAACGCGCATACAGGATCCGAGTAGCATCACTCATTTGACCTCACCATGTCAAGATAAAGAAGCAGCTCGATTTACTCTTCGTGTATCCGGTAGCCCTGATGCTGCTTCTAGGGGCCTCGCCGGTGTAGGTATAGCATTGAGTCGTAGGGCAGAACAATCTCTCCTTGACTGGATCCCTGTAGATAGTCGCTTGTGCGCCGTCCGACTCAACGGGACAGTAAGGACTCGGAAAGATAGGGATACTCGTCGTTGCCTCTTCGTCATATCAGCCTACGCCCCCACTGACTGCAGCCCAGATGATGTAAAAGATGAGTTTTACAGAAAGCTTTCGGACCTTCTCCAAAAAGTTAAGCGCTCTGATATAGTTATAATGGCTGGTGACTTCAATGCACAAGTAGGTAGACTAAGTGAAAATGAAAGACACCTAGGTGGATGTTACGGTCTCGCGGCTCAAAGAACAGACAATGGCGACCGTCTGTTGCAACTGTGCTCAGATAACCGCCTATTTCTAGCAAACACTAATTTTAAGCATAAGGAAAAACACCTTTTGACCTGGCGACCCCCGAAGTCGTCTCAACGTTGGACACAACTAGATCATGTCGCCATCAGCCACCGATGGAGGGGTTCGATAGAGGACTGCCGCTCGTTCTGGGGCACATGTTTAGATTCAGATCATGCCCTAGTGCGAGCACGTATTTGTTTGAGGCTTGCTGGACGTAGGAAAGACGCCGTAAGGAAGCCTCTTAGGGCTTTACTTGATGATAATCAAGCTAAGAAAATATTTCAGGAGGAACTAGAAAAACAGTTGGGCGATCATGCAAGTGATTCCCATCCGGAGTCAGGTTGGAATGATATAAAGAAGGCTGTGGAAACAGCAGTGATATCTGCTAGCAAGGTAAACAAACCATAAGGCTAGGATGAAGCCGTGGATTTCAGTCGCATCCACCGAACTGATGGATGCACGAAAACGCATCCCACCTGACTCTGAACATGATGAAGAGCGTAGTCAGCTTAGGCGCAGACTTATAAAAAGCCTACGTAACGACCGTGAACAGTGGTGGGTGGCGAAAGCAAAAGCGATGGAAAAGGCAGCGGCGATAGGCAACAGTAGACAACTTTTCCGCCTTATCAAAGAAACCGGTATTAGGAACCCGAATGTAAGTGAGACTATCTCGGAAAAGGATGGTCTTATTATCCATTCTCAATCTAGGAGGCTGGACCGATGGGCAGAACACTTTAGGGATCAGTTCAACTGGCCTTCAGCCACTCTTCGGTTGCCCACGATCTCCAGTCATCCTGAATGGCAAATCGATTTAAGTCCTCCCAGTTTACATGAAGTTGAGAAAGCTATAGGAAATCTAAGGAGAGGTAGAGCGGCAGGTCCCGATAGGCTTACCCCTGAGATGTTTAAGGATGGTGGTCCAGTTTTAACGGTTAAACTGACCGAGATCCTAGGTAGAATCTGGGAAATGGACGTAATCCCATCTGACTGGTCTCAGTCGCTAATTGTCCCAATCTACAAGAAGGGACAGAAGTCCTCTTGTGACAATCACAGGGGAATAAGTTTAACTAATATAGTTTCTAAATTGTTAGCCTCGATTATACTTAGACGTCTAACTAGAGCTCGCGAACAGCAGACTCGAGAAAACCAATCTGGTTTTCGACCTGGACGTGGTTGTATAGACCACATCTTCACACTACGACAGGTCCTGGAACACAGACACACATTTAGACGTCCGACAATAGTCGTGTTCCTGGACCTTAAGGCGGCATTCGACTCAGTGGATCGTGAGGTTCTGTGGCAGTGTCTGTCATTGAAAGGTGTACCAAAGAAGTACATTAACCTTATACAAGCACTCTACTCGAAAACCACTGGTCGGGTGAGAGCATATGGCGAACTGTCATCTGAATTCTCTACATCAAGTGGTGTCCGTCAGGGCTGTCCACTCTCTCCATTCTTGTTCAACTTTGTCGTAGACATCCTCTTAGAGTTAACATTAAGCTCGTCAGATTTTTCAGGGGTTGACCTTCTACCAGGAAAGTCGCTTACTGATCTAGAATATGCCGATGACATAGTTCTATTAGGTGAAGTCGCTGACAAAATGCAGAGTCTTCTGACTACCCTAAGCAACAATGCGAGCATGTTCGGGATGCGGTTTTCCCCCTCGAAATGCAAAATGTTGCTTCAAGACTGGGTTGCATTGGCACCTGAACTAGTGATAGGGAGTGAAGTAGTCGAACGTGTAGATCACTTCACTTATCTGGGGAGTCTCATCAGTGCTGACGGTCTGGTGACTGACGAAAT